GAGAAACATCAGTGATGAGAGAGAATCATCGGCCTGCTGCCTCCTGCACACCCCCCAACTGAGGATCGAGACCGCAACCCGGGCATGTGCCCTAATGGGGAATCGAACCATGGCCCCCTGATTCATGGGTTGACACTCAACCACTGAGTCACACCGGCCGTGCTCTATGTATTTCTTAATTTTACTTCCCTTTAGTGTGATTTTTTTTAAACTATTGAGAAAAACAAAACAAAATGTATGTTTCTAGCTCTTTGCGTACATTCTAATAAAATCTACCTAAAATTGAAATTACTTTCCAATGTTCATGTTAAGCCAGTGTTCAAACAAACAAACAAACCTAAATTGAATCAAACAGATCTGGTTTGCATGTTGAAAAGAGAGGATTCCCAGTTTTTTTCCATCTGGGACATATCAAACAAAAATAACCACCCCTTCCTTCCCTTCTCTAAGCTAGTCATCTGTAAAGATGAAACTATAAGACAGTTTTTATTTTTTTATTTTTTTATTTTTCCAGATTGTTCTTTCCAACTATAAGACAGTTTTTAATAAATGACTTGTATAGTTCTTGTCATGGTTATGACCACTTTTACCCTTCTCCCCTCTGATTGACAGGAAAATGAAGAAATATAGACTAGGATGCCTTACCACACCTGTCTGTGGGGGACCAAAGTGTCTGAATAAATTCATGTGGTAGACCAGTGCTCTAGCACTGTAAATATACATTGATTTATTTTGAAGTTCAAAATAGTAAACCAACTAAAAATGCATGTATGATCTTAAATGTGTAGTGTTAGTTATTATTTTAAGGGCATGGGTTTTCAAAACAGGCTTCAGTTCAGATCCTGGATTCACCAGTTCTTAGCTTTGTGATTAGGGGCAAGTCAGTGAAGTTGTTCATCTGTTTTGTCTGTAAAATGAAGAGGGTAGTAATACCAAACCCAAATTATTTATTTAAGGATTTGGGGATCATGAATATAATCAGTACCTAGTTCAGCCCTGGCTGGTATGCTCAGTGGTGTAGCATCAGTCTAAGGTTTGATTCCTAGTCAAGGGCACATCCTGGGTTGCAGGTTTCGATCCTCACCTCGATGAGGATATGTGCAGGAGGCAACCAATTGATGTGTCTCTCACATCGGTGTTTTGTTTTTTTTTCCTTCTCTCTCTCTCCCCCTCTCTCCCTCCCTTCCACTCTCTAAAAAAAATCAATGGAAAAAATATCCTCAGGTGAGGATTGACAAAAAAACACCAGCAAAAAATAGTACCTAGTTCAGTGCATAGTATTTAGTATGTTTGCAATTTGTCTGGATTTTTATTCTTGATATCATGTCATAACATGTTATTGCGTATCTAATTTTATTTTTCCCTTTTTTATTGAATTTATTGGAGTGACACTGGTTAACAAAATTATAAAGGTCTCAAGTGCACAATTCCACAACACATCATCTATACTCTTACTGTGTGTTCACCACCCCAAGTCAAGTCTCTTTCCATCACTATCCTAACTATACCCTCTCCACCTCCCCACATGCCTCTTCCTCCAACAGTCACACTGCAGTTTGTGTCCATGAGGGGGTTTTTTTCTCTCTCTCTTTAAAAATATGTTTTTATTGATTTTAGAGAGAGGAAGGGAGAGGGATAGAGAGATAGAAACATTGATGAGAGATAAACATCAATGGGCTGCCTCCTGCATACCCCCTACATGTGCCCTAACCAGGAATTGAACCAGTGACCTCTTGGTTCATTGGTTAGCATTCAACCACTGAGACACACCAGCTGGGCTTTTCTCTCTTTTTTTCTTTATTGTTCAATCCCTCTAACTCCCTCCACCTATTCCCCTCCCCCCCCCCAAAAAAAACCTAAACAGGTATCAGCCTGTTCTTCTTTCTATGAATCTGTCTTTATTTTGCTTTTTAGTTCACTAGATTCCACATGTGAGTGAAATCATATGGTACTTGCCTTTCTCTGACAGGCTTATTTCACTTAGCATAATGCTCTCCAGGTTCATCCATGCTGTTGCAAAGGGTAAGATTTCCTTCTTTATTACGGCCAAGTACTATTTAATTGTGTAAATGTACCTCAGCTTTAAAAGATCCAAAAATCTTGTCATTATAAAAACCTGACAGAGCTCTGGCCAGTGTGACTAGGTTGGTTGGAACATCATCTCATATACCAAAAGGTTGTGGGTTCAATTCCTGTCAGGGCACATACCCAGATTGCGGGTTCAATCCCTGGTCCGAACCCCAGTCTGGGCACTAAGGGAGGCAACAGATTGATGTTTCATTCCCAAGTCAATGTTTCTCTCTCTGTCCCTCTC